TTAAAGGCTATAAGGTGATGGATTTGCAGACAAGAGCCATCTTCATATCTCGGAATGTTATATTCCATGAAACATATTTCCCTTACAAACAAGCTACAAAGCCAACTGATAAATCAGAACTAGTCTTCACCAAGTCACTTCTAGACATTACCTGCTATACACCTACATTACCACCAGATACAATGTCTTATCTACATGAAACACACACATCTGATCAAAACATATCAAGCAATCCTCCATCGGATGATATTCCCCAATCAATACCTCTCATACTACCAATCATTCGAAAATCTATAAGAGTCAAAAGAGCTCCTCAGTACTTACAAGATTTTCACTGTCAGCAGGCCACATCAACTCAACCATTCCAATCATCTCTCAAGACAAAATATCTAGGCTCTACAGGTAATGCTTTTCTCCTCTGTAACACTATATCTTATCATAAATTATCGCCTCAATTTAAAGCATTTTCATCCTCCATTTGCACACACTTTGAACCTAGTACTTATCATCAAGCAATGACTGATCCTAATTGGTGTAAGGCAATGGATTCAGAGATAGAGGCCGTTGAACTGTTACAGGGAAACACTGAGATAAATAGGGATTCCATGCATGAAAATCTTGTGTGGATTGTCTGAAACCTATTGAGATGAAAACGAGGTGAAAGTTTTAAGTTAGAGGCTTGTTTTAGAAGCTGGATGTCTGAAAGAAAAGGGGGCATTGCACTAATCTTTGAATACATAAAAGTATCTTTTCGAGCCTGTATAACTCGGGTGATTAAGCCTGTGAAGGTGATTTAAAACCTGGTGCCCTATGGTCATCTGACTTGGGAGTTATCGGCCTAAAGCTCGATACATGGGTTATACACAAAGCGAGACTTGTAGCCAAAGGGTATATAAAAAGAGAAGAAAAAGTCTAAAATGAGACATTCTCACCTGTTGCAAAGTTGGTCACCGTTCGATGCCTGTTGGCTATAGCAGCAGTTCAGAATTGGCATTTAAAACAATTTGATGTTAGCAATAAGTTTCTACATGGCATTCTACATGAGGAGGTTTACATGCAGAAACCTCCGGCTACATAAAAGAAACTTCCAAACAAGTTTCCAAGCTATTGAAAAGCATATATGGTCTGAAACAAGCTTCAAGACAATGGTATTCCACATTCTCAACAGCCCTCATCCAATTTGGTTTTTCCTAGTCCAAGGCTGATTACAGCCTTTTCACTATGGTGACAGAACATTCCTTCACAGCCTTACTTGTCTATGTAGATGACATTATCATTGCTAGCTCTAGTTTGGAACAAATTGATGCAGTTAAAAGATTCTTCAATGGCAAATTTAAGATTAAAGCATTAGGTGATTTGAATTACTTTCTTGGTCTTGAGGTTACAATATCAAACAAGGGAATTTTTATCTCTCAACACAAATATACTTTAGACTTATTGGCTGATGCATGTCTCCTTGAGGTTAAATCAGTCAAACTTCCCATTTACCAGAACTTGAAGTTAGGAAAGAACACATGAATGACACTACCTGATCCCACCATTTATTGAAGACTAATTGGAAAATTAATGTATCTATCCCTGACTAGACCTGATATATGTTATGCAATTCAGAGCGTCAGTCAACATATGGAAGATCCCTTTTATACACGTTTTGTTGTAGTTCACAAAGTAATCAAATATCTCAAGCAAGCTCCAGGACAAGGCCTCTTATTTTCATCTTCATCCTTACTGATCCTTCGAGCATTTTGTGATTCTGATTGGGAGCTTGCTGTAATTTTCGAAGATCAATCACTAGTTATTGTATATTTCTTGGGAATTTACTGATTTCTTGGAAATCCAATAAGCAAAGTGTGGTATCACGATCATCCGCTGAAGCAAAATACAGATCATTGGCTAGCACATGTTGTGAAATCACATGGTTAAAATATATTCTGAAGGACTTTTAAATGCATCACTCCCAACCGGTTACTTTATATTGTGATCACCAAACAGCATTACACATTGTCTCCAACCCAGTATTTCATGAGAGAACTAAACACATCGAGCTGGATTTTCATTTAATTAGAGACCAAATCGAAGCTGGCCACATCTCCACATCTTATGTTCCTGCCCAATCACAATTTGCTGATATGTTCACCAAGGCGATCTCTTCCATCACTTTAAAGTCACATTTATCCAAGGTAGGAATAAAAAATATCTATTCTCCACCTTGAGGAGGGCTGTTAAAGAGCACAATGTATATACGTGTATATGTATGTGTGTATATATATATAATGTATAATGTAGTTAGTATAATTGTGCTTCATCCAGGTGTCCTTCCAGTCCAACTGCTTCTGTGTGTGTTCGTTACAATACCATTGCACACGGTTGGTTGCTGATTCATTCATTTGGTAGTGTAGTTTGTTAGGATATCTTTTTTACTTATTTACCCCTTGTCTTCTATATATTTGGACGTGTATTACCACTATGAAATAAGAAGAATTCCTGATTGATCATTTCTAATATATCAGCTCTTCATCACCTTCATTCACCTGTTCTTTTCCTTGCAAAAATAGATTGCTTGACTGATGAGATCAAGAAAAAGGCGGGACAACACGATCCTTCTGGATATTTCTTAATAGAAGTAGATTCAGCATTGTCTTTGTTTATTGAAAATGAAGTTTGTCTTTTATCTCCAACTAGTTGCTAAAACCAATTGGAACGTGTTTGCAGGATATATTTTGCAATGATCTGAGGGAGCACTCCGCTATAGACTACAGCAAGCCCATACTTGATTGGCTTGAGCACTCTAAGGATGATGCACTTGAAAAATGGGAATGCATCATTGCTGGTGAATTACAACAAAAGCAAAAGGCACTTTTGGGCAGCGAAAAAGTTACTCTGCCTGTGTTTAAAGCTCTTCACATGCAAAAAACAAGGTTTTGTGACCTAAGGTCTCGACTTGGTGCTGGATATCTTTACAACCAGGTATATTCTCTTTCTTTTTTTCTCGATTTCTGTTTCTTAATGGGGTTTATGTTGGATCGAACATGTTGCTCACAAATTCAATATCCAGTTAGGAACCCGCCTGTGATTCCTAACTTGGCGGGCTATGTGAAGACCTGTATTTAACCAACTCGTACTGGACTACCAAATTCAGTGTACTAGACTAGACCCATCCACAATTATTGCATTGTTACCAGTCACCTGGATTTATAAGACCCTAGGATCAGGTTCAGAGTTGGAATACAATTTTTGTCAAGATAAAAATGCTATATGTCCAGGTCAATTCTGCTAAAAGCCCATTCATAAAATTTGAAGAATTTTCATATGTTGCCATTGGCTTTTTCTTAGTATTGAAGATTGTTGTTATTTATATTATTTACTGATTTAAGTGCCACATACCTTTTTATTTAACTTTCTTATAATGATCAATAATACTTTCAACATTCTCTGTCTTGTAACTTTAAAGGATGCAGGCTTTTGAAAAGTACACTTAGGAGCACGTAATATAGCCATTCCACATCATTAGGTACTTCTTGGATGGCATCATTTGTAATTTGTCATTTAGCAGCATTTGTTTGGTTTATGTTATTTTTTCTTCCCTTTTTTCCACCTGTCAAGATGTGCAAGCATTTGTCATACTTTTGTCATATATTTAGCCCAAGTTTGAATGGGATTAAAATCAAATTTTTAATAAATTTTGATAAAACATGATGAAATATGTGGTTGGAAACTTTCTGAGTTCTATGAAATATGTAATTAAAATTAATTGTTGATTTGATTTAGATTAAAATTTGGATTGCAATCCCTACCAAACAGGGCATTAGTCAATGTAAATGTAGAACCTAGAAGTGACAGGTTATATTTGTAATTGCAGTTTGAATAATTCCGAGAGTACAGAATTACTCTCACAGAATTCATACAGGAATTTAAAATTTATCTCACATGGGGGTGGCCCCACATGATTAAAATAATGCCAAAAACCTCCCCACCCACCTATGATGTGTGTTGTCAGGCAGGTACATGAATTTAAATTCCTGTACCTTTAGCTTAACTCTTGCAGTTTTGATATGAGTACTTAAAAGTATGCATTTTATGTATTTGCTGGGTTTTCATCTTGATCAAAGCCCTTTGCATTTAATTATTCGAACTGGTTTATGTTGTTTGTCAAGGGGGATTGCAAACATTTAATTGTATTAAGAGATGGGAGGTTAAATCATCCAGAGGAGGATGTACAAATTGGAGCAGCCTATCCATTAGTGACATTTCAATTCAAGTTGTGTTATCGAAAATGCTCTGCTTGCAAGATTTACAAGGCAGAAAAGGTGACAGTAGACGACGTGAGCTCCGGAGAACCCTTGCTACTTTTGTTATTACATGCTTCACTACGAAAATGGTTCTCTGCTGTATAGTGATTTCTCTGTTTATGATTATCATCATGAATAATTGTTATAACAGTCATTTTTCTGCAATATTTATTCTAATCTTATAAGGGATGATTTGGGTTTTGTAAAACCATTTAGCATTTGGTGTAAATGGTACTCAGATATCCTGTTGGTTTATACTGTCTGTCTCAATCAACTAGATGGATTTAGACATTCAGTCTCATGCTAGACATGGTTTTAAGGTGAATTATATTAGTCTAAAATCAGTTTTTCTTTGCTCACTAAACGCTCTTCGCTACTTACTCCTTCAATTATCGCATATTTGTTATTGACTATTGAGGATTAGATAGCACTGCGAATAATAATAAAAAGAAAAAAAGAAAGAAAGAGGAGTTCTGATATCATTGTATTGACTATTTCCATACAATAATGTTATCGAATAGGAAAAGAAATGATTGAATCCAAGACTATTTGTTAGCTGAAATGTAAAACAATATGATCTCATTTACGCCTAGTTGAGGGGGCATATGAATGTAATGTAATTGGTGAGATACCTAATAACAATGCTATCCGATGAATATTCAGTTATAAGAAATCTATTAGATTATGAGAAGAAATGGCACAAGTTATAGCCTATGGGCTATAGCCATGCAAATGTTTAGCCAATCTTCTAGCCATGAAAGGATCATAACTCTCAACACTGCTAGTCCTTCCACGTATGGGAATGTCATTTGTGCTGTCATTTCTATCTCCTTTGTCCGCTATGCCAACAACTATTTCATCCGTCCTCGCGGGTTCTTCATCTTCATTGTCAACATAGCTAAATTTCAATTGAACATGTCCCAACTCGCCTAAATATAATGGAATCTTCCTCTCCTCGCCACCTCTGAGTTCTTTGATCCCAACGACCCTAGCGTCTTCCCCATATGTGAGTGATGTGTTCATCATATAATTATGGATATTTTTTGTTAATATATATATTTTTTTAAAATTGAGACCAAAACCTCAATTTGCTAACCTTGCCCTTGTTTATAGAAAATTAAGAGACAAAAAAATTTAATACATATGAAGAAAAATAATTCAAAGATTTACGTGAAAATTTCCAAAATCAAAGAATAATCATAGACTAGCAAATATATCTTCTACTATATAAAATAAATTTACAGAATCATATATAATATTTCACACACGCAAAAGTGAAAATAATGGTTAAGAGCATAGTTATAAAATCTGGCCCGGACCGGCCGAGAAACCTGTGACCCAAGCCATTGCCCGGGCCGGGTAGATTAATTAAATAGGAATTACATGACTCGGTCAAAAATCTACTTTGACCGAGTTAACCCGACCGATTTACCAATTTTCAAATTTGCCTTTTAAAATTTTGAAGGTCCAAAGAATTGAACGTTGGACCTCTAAGTAAAACAATCGGTTCCTCACCATTTGAGTTGTAAAGTATTTCAATATTTTTTTATTTGCAATAAGTTATATGTATATAATGAATCAGATATATGTTTTCTAAAAGTAGTTTTATAAACACTTTGGTCAAACACTTTACTTTATTGTATAGACCTAAATAATTCGTGAAAAATAATTATAAAAAAATATAACCTTGCGTAAAAAAAATTTTATACCTTAATTTTTATGCAATAACCCATCGGTTCAACCAGTAACTCGAGACTCAATACCATGTCCGGGTCGAGTATAATAACTATGGATAAGAGTATAAAGAATCCTCCAATTTCACCAATCATATCACGGGCTTGTATTTTATTGTGTTAATTTGGACCAATTTTTTTTCTTTTCTTTTTTTTTTTTACAAGAAACTCATCTGTCTGCAATTCCCAGTCAATGGGTTAACCTTAACATATCATTATTCAATGGCCTAAATTAAACGTTAGGTGATGACTTCAAACTAAAAAAAATTATTTAAATGCTTAGGTATTTGCACCATCAATTATTGATTTCTTTGACTAAACAAAGAAGAAATTCTTAACAATTTATATTTATAATAAAATGAGTGGTTTGAATGAAGCGTATAATTCAACGACTCAAATTGTACGCTGTTAATAATAAAATGAGTGGTTAGACTTCAACTTCGTTAGAAATATCTACTCATTGCTCTAACCAAAAATAGTGCTTTTAGTAAAGATATATATCACTCTCTCGCATATAAAATACCCACATATGAGCGCTCACCTTTGGCTAATTTTAATTTTCTCGAGATTTTTAGTTCAATATCTCATCCTCACCTTTAAATGTAAAAGAAAAAATAAAATTAATTTTTGGGATATTTAGCCCCTATTTGGTAAATATTAAAATCAAGATTTTAATCTAAATCAAAGTTAATAATTAATTTAAATACATATTTCATGATATCCACAATTTTTCAAATATACATTGAACATTATCTTTTATAAAAGTTTACTAAAAAAAAAAAATATGATTTTAATTGCTATCAAACTAAGGGTTAAATGTTTCTGTTTTTATTTAAATTTTCTTCATGTTTTTCCACCATCATATTTTTTAAAATTAAAATTTACAAAGTCTAACTGCCTACGTCGATACTATACTAGAGAAAATCTTCATTCAACATCTATGACCTTCAAAATTTGACTATCCACAAACGATTTTTATAACAATTTATATTACGACTTTATGAACAAATATTTGACTCGTAAAATGAATAACTTTTCCCAACCAATAATCCACATGCATATGTCATATGGCCCCTTTTTAAGTGATTTTTGACTACATGTGCACCGACAGCTCACGAGTGTTGTATATGGCCCCTTTTTAAGTGATTTTTGATAAGAACCAATGATAATGAGCCAAGTGAAATTCTTTAACAATTTTGTACTTGTAGCATAACACTTAATTATTATGATACATTTACTCTAACCTAATATGTAATTTTTAATAAATATTACTATAGTTAGGTTTCTGTCTATTTCTCCAGTTTGTTTCATGACGGCTATATATGTGGTTCTAATCCCCCACTATTACAAGAGAAGCAAATTAAAAAAGAAAATCTTCATATGGATATCATACAAATTTTGGTTGTTTTGCTTTTCGTGGGCTTGACATGTTTTCATGTCTTAAGGTCGAATTCGAGGAAAGGGAGATCAGGCAAGCTCCCACCAGGCCCTTATCGCTTTCCAATCATCGGTAACATTCCTCAACTTAGCATAAAACCGCACCAATCACTTGCCGAACTGGCCAAAATTTATGGCCCTATAATGTATCTAAAGCTAGGAAGCGTAGATACAATAGTGGTTTCATCACCAAAAATTGCCAAAGAAGTACTAGAACATCAAGCTTTATTAGGCCGGAGAATCCCAGCTGCAGCTGAAGTCCATGAGCATAACACGCACTCTATGGCCTGGTTGCCGATGGCTAACCAGTGGCGAATTCTTCGTAAAATATCCAAGGAACAAGTCTTTTCAGTGCCTAGACTAGAAGCAAGCCAGGGCCTTCGGCAAGAAAAGTTGCAGAAACTACGTGACTACATCCATGAATGTAGTGTTAATCATCAACTAGTAGATGTCGGTGAAGCTGCTTTTATAACTGCACTTAATCTCATGTCAGCCACTCTTTTCTCAGTTGATTGTGCTCAGTTTGATTCCGATTCTACTCAAGAATTAAAGGAAACTATACGAGCTATGACCAAAGTCGTGGCTTCTTTTAATCTTGTTGACTTTTTCCCCATTTTTAAGTCCGTTGATCCACAACGCGTAATGCATAAATCCAAGACTTATTTTGGACAAATATATTCGATACTTGAAGGTAAGATAAATGAACGATTGAAGTTAAGAGCTGCATCATCGGATTATGTGGAGAAAAATGATTTCCTGGAAGCCCTCCTCAATTACAGTCAAAGCAACCCGTCTGAATTTCCAAAAGACCGGATAAAGCATTTACTTCTGGTGAGTAAAAACATATCTCGACTCTAAATACATGATTATATTGTCAAGAATGCTACTTGTACAGATATGTTTACATTGCTGAGATGGCAACGCTTCATTGGCTAGTTTAACTTTCTTTTTTGTCCAAAATCCAATGAACTTTTCCACTTGGCATTCTGTAAAACAGTCTATACTCGTGTGAAATCGATTCACTGATTTATGTTTGTATGTTAGGATTTATTTGTTGGAGGGACAGACACGACTGCTGCTACTGTGGAATGGGTAATGACAGATTTAATACGCTGTCCCAAGGTCATGTTGAAGGCTAGAAATGAACTCTGGGATGTCGTTGGACGAAATAACAAAATTAAAGAATCGGATATCTCAAGGCTTCCATATCTGCAATCAGTGATCAAAGAAACATTTCGGTTTCATCCTACTGGACCACTTTTGATACCTCACAAAGCAGAAGTTGATACAGAAATTAATGGCTATATAATCCCCAAGGACTCACAAATATTTGTTAATATATGGGCTATTGGTAGAGATTCAAGTATTTGGCCGAATCCAGAGTCATTTGATCCTGAACGATTTTTAAGACGAGAAATAGATATTAGAGGCCAAGATTTCGATCTCATTCCCTTTGGTTCAGGGAAGAGGATTTGTCCAGGATTTCCATTGGCAACCCGGATGGTGCCTCTCATGGTGGCAACTATGATTCATAACTTCGACTGGAAACCGGAAAAAGGAATGAAACCAGAAGAAGTGGACATAAGTGAAAAGTTTGGGGTTGCTCTACAGAAGGCTGTGCCTCTCAAGGCTTTTCCAGTCAAAGTTTGAAGTCTGAAGGTCCAATCTACAATCTCAAAAGCTACTGTAATATGATCAAACAGTATGTTAAATAATGGAGTTGACTTGTTAGATTATATTTGCTAGAAGTGAAGCTACTTTACATCTATTTGGTATATAGTACTCGAAATGTATGCATGGTATAAAAAATAAGATTTTAGTTATCTTCTCTTTTATATTTATGTCGATTGTTGTTTCATATATAATGTCGTACTCACATGGATTAACTACTTACTATCAATTTTAAACTAATCTAGCTTCAATCTAAATTATTTTGGTAACCATTTAACAAATCAAGAGTTCATATTCAATCTAAATTAAAATATATTAATGCAATCTATCAAAGCTTAATGGGCTTGTGAATAACTTCTGGACTTAATTGGTTATGATATTCCTATTTTACTTAGGTTAGTTAACATTCATCTAATTCAAATTCATTTAGCCCATTTTTCATCTATTTTAACAATTGAATTAACAAGTTTTAACTAGTAATATCTCTCGAGTAAAACTAACTCTATTCACATGCTCAAATTTACTATATTCCTAAGTTATAAAAGTATTTCTCGATCTCTTATCAAAACTTACATTACTACTACACGAACTAGGCAAATATATCACACCTCAATATTAGTATTGTCCTTAGACCATACAATTGATAATCAAGTAGTTGAATATCAATTAAACATATAATTAGAAACTAACAATCAAAGCTGCATCGAATCTATTGAATTAAACAATACCAACCAAAGCTATGTCGATCATGCTAACAACAATGTATTTAGTCAATCATAATTTTGGAATTAAAAAAAAAAAAAGAAAGATGAAAACTATCACCGGGTTCAATAAAATGAATAAAGAAAAAAATCCTATCAATTATTATTTTTTTGGCACCCAATTACAAAATGTGGATCATCAATTTCTTCTTGAAATCATGTAAATCTATTGATAAAGAAATGTTTTTAACCTTCAAATCCCAAATTGAGCCACAAATCTTGAGAATTTAGGTATATTGTTTTGAGATTTTACCTCAAGAATTGTATATCTCGTCTCACCTTTAAATTCAATCTGAAGAATGGTATTTATAGACCTTTAGTTAGGTCTAAAATTGAGCCTGAGGTTGATAGGAGTATGAGTTTTAATCAAAATAGGGAATCTTAAAACTTTCCCTCAAAGACAATTGTGCAATCGCACGGTCAAAAATGTTGCCAAAACACCGTAGTCAAAGTTATGGCCAAAATACCAAAACTTGTCCAAAAACGGCCCCAATTAGGAAATGTCGATGATTATTTGCCAATTTTGTGCTGATCTACCAATTCATGGTATCTCAACGCCATTAGCGTACTATTAGACAACTTGGTCTCATCTGACTCGGATCCTCCTGTATTAGCAACCTCAAATGGTTGTTGTGATCACAACAGTCGCCAAAGTTTCAGAGGGAGTTATTCCTTGATTCCATTCGATTCTCCATCCCCAGTCCTTTGTTATTTGCCATTGAGACACTTAACTTTCAAACTTGACACCTTGATCCCAAACTTCCAAAATTCGACCATCTTTCAATTACACCTCGACATCGTTTGTATAGCTTGAAATTTGTCTATCTCGTAGATAAATGAGATAATCCAGAAACTTCCCAAATTGTTTTTCTAATGGGGGGAACAAATACAATTGCAGGAGTGGCTACCTTATCTTTTAGAGTATCTGAATTTTCATTCGCTCGATCATCTTTTACTTAATTAGAGCCTTCTACTTGTTCATCGTCCACAGTAGGCAATTTTTGATTGTTTGTACGTAACCCCTTTTTTTACTGTAATTTTCGATACTTTTATCCCATTTTGTGTATTAATTGCAATAATCAGTGTTTCTTTGCAAAGCACCTTTAGCCCTTTCAAACAGTTAGAGCTAGTTGTCCAATTTGAGTTTTCAAATCAGTGTTTACTTATTTCGTTGTATTTGAGGCTTTCAGACATGTCACAAATTCTACAAACAAGAATTTTTTGGACCAAGTTTGCTGTATTTTTAATGGAAAAGTGGTCTATTACCTTCTTTTACAAAGAAGATATATGCTGATAGTTGAGACGACATCTATTTTATGAATTCTTGCTGGCTTTTTGTATTTGGGTCTTTCAAAAGGTCACAAAGGGTCGCGACTGACATAGTCTCAAATAATTCCAAAACATCGGTGGGTTTCTTAAATTTTATAGACCCATTTGAAGCTGAATCCATATATTACTATAAGAAGGCTTCAGTTCGATGTAGAAGAATTGAACTTTCTAAGCCTTCTTAAATGCATGATTATGACATTTTCAAATAATGTCTTTTAACCATTTCTATACTTCGTGGAAACTCTCTGAATCGGCATGTTGAAAGTTATATATCTCATGCTTCAATTTAGTTGCCTACGTTGGTGAAAAGTAATTTTTGACAAACTTATGTATGAGATTATCCTAAGCCGGAATGATTCCTCGGATAAGGAATCCAACCAATCTCTTGCTCCATCAAGACGGGAAAAATTTAATGATTTCCTTGTCAATTTGGAAAATTGTAGCACTAATCCTCAATCTATAAGCATTGTCGTATTTTTCTCTAATATGTATGTTTCAAAGCAGTATGGTTCCATCCTATTTACTGTAGTGCAATGTTTGTTATGAGCATAAAATACATCAATTTGTCCTGTGAGAAATCAATTATTTTAGGGAAAAATTCATGGTTCAGGGATTTACTTTGAGGAAATAAAAAATCAGGTCCCAAAGTTTAAAATTGCAAAAATTAGGTTTTTTCATGAATTAATTAATTATATTTTACAATTATTATATTAAATTAAATATTTAACTGTAATATAATATAATTAACCCATCCCACCCCACTTCCACCACCCCAACTGCTCCGGCGACTATTCCGATGACCGTTCGCCGACGCTTAATTTAGATATTCCGAGGTAACAGATAACGTATTAAGGTCACAGTTAGCTTAATTCAGATAACTGCTCCAATTTCGAGGTCACAGATATCTTATTAAAGTCACAGTTCCGATGTCACAGATATCTTATTAAGGTCACAGTTAACTTCCTTAGTCACTCATCAAAAAAATTATAAGGTCACTGATATCTTATTAAGGTCACAGTTAGCTTAATTTAGATAACTGCTCTAATTCTAAGGTCACATATATCTTATTAAGGTCACAGTTAGCCTAATTCCGAGGTTACAGATATCTTAAAAAAATATAGCTAACTTCATTAGTCACAACAATAATTAGGTCACAGATACCAAAAAGAACAACCGCCGTCGTTGACCCCACCACAACAATAACAAAATACGACCACCACCGCACGGATCTACTACCACCGCCCAAAATATACCGCCACAGATCCACCACAACCACGCATCCCCAGCTCTGCGATATTTTTCAAAACCAGACAAGCATTCCCGCCGACAACACAGATCTCCACACCACAACCACCACCGAACAAAAAACCCCAACCCGCCACCATCACAGCCCATTTTTAATCCCAAAATCCACCGTTGAGCCAACACCCACACACCCACCCCAACAGATCGGAGCAGCAGCCCATCAAGTCGCAGCAGCGTCACAGCCCATCAAGTCGCAGCAGCGTCGACGCCGGCAGCAGGATCGACGCTGCTATGCTGCTCACAGCAGCGTCTGTGAGCAGTGTGGACGCTGCTGTGAGCAGCGTTCGAACGCTGCTCACAGCAACGTCGACACTCCTACAAAGTAGGAGGGAGGAGGAGGCGGTGGTGAGAGTGAGAGTGAGAGTGAGAGAGAGAGACTGTTGGGGGTTGTGTGGGAATGAATTGAGAAATTAGGTTTTTACCCCAACAGATCGGAGCAGCAGCCCATCAAGTCGCAGCAGCGTCACAGCCCATCAAGTCGTAGCAGCGTCATAGCCCATCAATTCGCAGCAGCGTCGACACTGCTACGCTGCTTACAGCAGCGTCTGTGAGTAGTGTGGACACTGTTGTGAGCAGCGTCTGTGTGCAGTGTGTACGCAGCTATGAGCAGCGTTCGAACGCTGCTGTGATGCGTTCGACGCTGCTGTGATTCACAGCAGCGTTCGAACGCTGCTCACAGCAGTGTCGACGCTCCGACAAAGAGTAGGAGGGAGGAGGAGAAGGAGAGGCGGTGGCGACTGTGAGAGTGAGAGTGAGAGTGAGAGTAAGAGAAAGACGGTTGGGGGTTGTGCGGGAATGAATTGAGAAATTAGATTTTAAAGGATTAATTATTCAATTAAAATGATAAAAAATTCTTTTTTTGAAAAGATAAGAAACCTGATAAATGAAAAAAAAAAAACTTGAAAACCTGATTTTTTTAAAATGTTAAACTTAATGCCTGGTTTTTGGTAATTTTCCCATTATTTTATTGAAAACAACACTACAGTTTTGTTTGTAATAAAAGAAAAAGACAAAGATAAAGAAAATAAATTAGAAAATAAAAAACCTTCCGCATTCTTGAAATCTCACCTTCTTCATCGAAATTTACATTACCAGCTAGGTAAGACGATGATCAGTTGGACGCGTTCGAAACTTCAAGTTTCCATGATGTCCAGGAACTGATTGACCCGAGAATCCCCAGCGCATCTGCTAAGAAAGGAAAGGCCCAATCCAACTCATCAATCTCGTCTAGCATCCTAAATTCATACTAGCCACTACCACCACTCCAAACTCTCTCACCTTAATCTATAAATCAACACATGATCAAAAGCAGTCCATCCCCAGCCACAGTATCAGTAAATTTCAATAGAGTGATTGGTCTTACAATTGAATGATTCAGGTGCAATTTTTCAACTGATTTCCCCCCTATGTGTTGGTCAATCATAAGGATATAGATTTAAAAAATGAAATGTACAGATTTATTTGGATATGAGAAAACATTAGGATGTTTGGTAATGAATCTTTAAAATTGAATTTCATGAAAAATCAATTCAGATTTATTTTAACCACTACAACAAAAGTAACTTTTTACGGCATTCATTTATG